TCCACTGTGCACTGAGTGCAGGTCTCTTGCCACTCCCTGGTTCCCGGGACCCCGGTTCACGTGATTGTGACGTTTATCGAATAAGGTCTATAGGGACCGCTTATGCATTGACCAGGTTGCATAGGGACCAGTCATGGATAGACCAGGTCGTATAGGGACCATTGATTTTTATAGATAGACCAGGTCGTATAGGGACCATTGATTTTTATAGATAGACCAGGTCGTATAGGGACCATTTATAGATAGATCAGGTTGTATACGGAGCAGTCATATATAAACCAGGTCGTATAGGGAGCAGTCATGGATAGGTCAGCTCGGGACCAAATCATGCATAGACCAGGTTGTATGGGGATCAGTTATAGGTAGACCAGGTCATATAGGGACCAATTACAGATTGACCAGGTTGGATAGGGACCAGTCATAGGTAGATCAGATTGTATAGGGACCAGGTCATAGATGGACCAAGTCGTATAGGGACCAGTCATGGATAGACCAGGCCGTTTACAGACCAGGTTGTAGACAGACCAGCCTGTAGATATACGAAGCTGTAGGTAGACAAGGTCGTAGGTAGACAAGGCCATAGATAGACCAGGCGTATATAGGCCAGGTCGTATATAGACTGGGTCATGGATAGACCAGGCCGCATAAAGACCTACTAGTATTCCTGCAGATATGCCTCCTGTACTGTAGAGAGTAACATTCTGTACACAACACACTTCAGTTCTTTCACGCACTGCAAACTTCCAGAGCCTTTTGCAGGTGGTGTTTTTTGCGTAAAATTTATCATCCAAAGTCTGTTGAAAGATTTTCCATTGTGCAGCTTCAGTACTAAGTCACAACCTTACTGAGCAGGAAATAGGAGGGACTGAAAAAAAAGAAGAAAAAAAGGAAATAGTTACTGTATTAAAGTCAACGAATATTCGGCCCATATTTATTTTCGCCTATTTTCGGCCTGGTCATGTTTGGCCGAAAATTTGCTGCGGCTGAAATTTTTTTGTGATACCAGTGCTCACTTAAAATATGATTCATCACCATAATTATTACGATTGTAATCTCCACACCACGTGTTTAAAATTCGAAATTGTAGTTCTAAATCCCAAATGGGCATAAATTAAAGTCATCCTATTTCCAAGGTTCACTTTATTTCCTCAGTGCCCGGCATCAGCTAATCCTGTACTCCATCCAGTACCAGTGCAGCAAACGCAGCAGTCAGGCTTCGATTTCTTGACCTTCACTTTAAAATTTCGCTCCGTCGGCCATTCAAATCGTGGTGGACGATCCGCTAATTGTGGAGTGTGTGGAATCGGTGGAAGTATTCTCCAGGCCACATCGTTTGCTGGCGCCCGGTGTGCCCTTGAAGATGGTTTGTTCCTGTGGTACGGACGCTGGCTGCAAATGCAGCACGCACCCTTCTAGTTCTCAACCTTCTCTTGAAAATGTCGCTTCGTCAGCCGTGCATTCTCCATGTCTACGGCACCAGTGTCAACGGGAGCCGACTGTTGCCTGGGCTCTCCGATGGGCCACTCCTTTAGAGGAACACATTGTCAACGCTTTGACGTGTCCTCTAGCTCTCATTGTGGTATGTTGTTTCCAGTATCTTTGCCGGTGTAAGTTTCCCATTCGGAAGCGTAGCTTGATGTCGAAGCTGCCACACCGTGTGCCTATATTCCCCACTTCATCAGCTTCTTTGGAAGATGCTGCTTGAACGTCAGCTAGTCCTTCAAGCGAACCATTTGCTCATCTGTGGGCGAGTGTTTTGAAGGGTACGCAGGGCAAAAACGGTCGGGAATCATTTTATGATCTTTGCTAGGTGATCAATTTGTTGTCCGGTCTGGCCTCTAGCTATAGTGGTGTTTCTGGTGAAGTGTACACACAATAGCAGCAGTTGAAACCTATTTCTGGGCATACTCATAGTGAACGCCACTGTCTTCAGCAGCCACTCCATTGTCTAGTGGTCTACCATGCTTGACTTAGCAACAATACTCATCGCAATAAGCATGATAAATAGCACGCGAAATTCGTTTCCTGCAATTGGCACCCATTTCCGAATTCGTGCATATGGGAAGCCTAGGCCGAGGTTTTCTAGTCGATAGCGGAAAACCGTTTTTGTCTTCTTGACGGTGACCTCTATGACAGCGTCAGTCACACACATAATTATCTAGGCATGTTTTTGGCGTGACGTGCTCTTCGTCACCAAAGTCGAGCGTGACGCCCGGTGTGCGGGAACGTTGTGTCAGCCAATTCGGCACACGGTCTTGAAGTGTGGCCATCGGGTTCCATCCTTGTGGTACTAATGCTAGTGCCATGACGTCCTCCTCATCTTCAGAATCTTAACACCAACTTCTTCTGGCAAAGCGAAATGTCCCCTAAGGAGTCCATAATGTGTTCTTGATTATAATTAACCAATGACACATTATGGTTAATTTGGTTATTTTTTTGGTGGGGGGGGGGGGGGGGGCAAAGGTGACGGCACACACACATATAATGAGCACTTGGCTCACTATGTAGGGCTATCATAGCAATGCTGAATTATTGTTTTATTATGTTTTTCTGCTGCTGTGACTGTGTTTGTGTCTATCGTTACTGCTGCTGCTGTTGCTGCTGCTGCTGTCGCTGCTGCTGCTGTTGCTGCTGCTGCTGCTGCTGCTGTTGCTGTTGCTGCTGTTGCTGCTGTTGCCACTGCTGTTGTCACTGCTGCTGCTGCTGTTGTTGCTATTGTTGTTCTTGTTGTTAGTTTGGAGTGTGAGACCGGCAAACGGACCGTAACCGAAGGCCCAGGGGTAGTGACTGTCAGCTTGTACGGCAACACCAGATCATCAGCTAACGAAACCGCCGTCATGTTCGACTACATAGTAAGTCAGTCAGCCGTACGTACGCTAGTGTATGGCTCTGCTGCATGCATTGTAGCAGCTGAAGATGAACGCGGAGAGCCTCGATGCACTGAATCAATTTGACCAGCATCCTTCATGCTGATATCCTGTGTGTTTGTTATCCTGGTAAAGTAAAGTTAGCCCATAGTCAATTCTGGGGGCCCGGGGTGGGGGCAAGAGGCATTACAGACCTCCTGTTTCACAGAGCGTGATATAGTGTTCTCCTGGATACAGGGATGTTACAGCCCAGCAGTATGCTATTACTGTTAGGCAGGATAGTGGATCTGCTTACTGGGTGCCTAAACCTGACAAGCCTTTAAGCTAAGTTGAGTCGGCAAACTCGCTCATGTGGCAAATTGGCTTGGCATTGCTGTGCGGAGGCTTTGCCGCTGCACACGGAGGAAATGAGATGATGTATTTACTGAACCACTATGAGCCGATATCCAGGCTTGCCGTATAACTATGCTGCTGCCGCTGCTGGCTTCAAGGTCACCGTGTGAACGTGCATGTGTGCTGTTCATGTGTGTCTCTGTTTTTTTCTACAGCTACCGGAGTTTCGCGCCGTACATCCTGCGATGGCGTCCGAATCTGGAGGCTCGCTCATAACACTATCGGGTAGGTGGCCTGCTGCATGCACTTTTTGTATAATAGCATGTGTGAGCTCAAGGTTTCAAACCAGCATTCTGAGTTCTGTGTACTGTAAATATACAAATTTTCGGCAGCTATTTAATTTCGGCTATATTCGGCACCGACCCAAAACGCCTAAATTAAAACGCCGATGAAATTTTTCACAGCATCTGTCGCACTATACCATGCCCTCTACCCCACGCCGAAAATAAATCGCCGCCGAAATGTCAAAAAATAGTGAAGTGCCGAAATTTTGCAGCGCCGACATTTTGTATATTTACAGTGTAGTGTTTCCATCTACGCAGAGAGGGAGATCCCAGCTGTAGGTAAGGCGCTTTGTGGCTGTCCATTTGCCTATTGTCTTCCTTGTGTGTGTGTGTGTGTGTGTGTGTGTGTGTGTGTGTGTGTGTGTGTGTGTGTGTGTGTGTGTGTGTGTGTGTGTGTGTGTGTGTGTGTGTGTTTTGTGTGTATGTGTGAGCAGGTTCGGGATTGGACACCGGTCGAGACGTGGAGGTGGAGCTAGCTGGTCAGCCGTGCAGGCTGGCCAATACACACTGCCATCATCGACCGCCGGCACTTTGCCAGGACCTGCCGAAAATGTGAGCGTCTCCTATAGATGTTATGCGAGTGACTCATCATAGTACATTTGCCACTCAGAAGTCAATAAAATATCACTTTCACCACTCACAAGTCAATAAAATATCACTTTCACCACTCACAAGTCAATAAAATATCACTTTTGCCACTCACAAGTCCATGAAATATCACTTTTGCCACTCAGCTGGCTTCCATATTAGGATAGAGTATCTCGGTGCACATTTCTCCCAGTTTGCCATTCGCCTGTCTTCCATTATGGCAGTGTATGAGGCAATCGCATGATCTGTATTATATGATTGCAGTACGCCGTGCTCTCACCGGTTGGACTGTGTACCTATACTTATTGATCCATCTTGTGCTTTTCTCAAAATGCGAAGAGTCCACTGCAGCCATCCACTATACCCATACATCTTCACAACACTCTCCAAACGGTCTCTGGGCTACACCAATCACTAAAAGATAAAGGAGATATTAAATCAATCGAATTTTCGGGCAAGGCCCATCTTCAGGATCTTGTGCTTGATTGAAATCCAGTACATAGTTTAGTCAGATCATTATCTGCCCTATGTGGATGTAAATGGAGGTGGAAGTAGATGATTTTTCGTCACCTGTTGTTTTCTGCCGCATGTGTTCCATTGCAGACCAAGGAATAGATCTACTATCTGGTGTTATGCGTCTCCCTATACTCTGAGACAAGGAGGTCAGTGAATGTCTGGCAGTGGCGTTGATGTGCTCTTGATCATGATTGGGGTTTTACTTATCGCAGAACAATATGTGTGCGCGTGCGTGCGTCTATGCGTGCGTGCGTGTATGCGTGCGTGCGTGCGTGCGTGGCTGTGGCTGTGGCTGTGCCTGCGTGCGTGTGTGTTTTTGTGTTTCTGGGTGTGTGTTTTTTTGTATGTGTGCTTGTATGTGTATGTATGGGTGGAGGGGGGGGGGGGGGGGGGGGCGGTTGGGTGGGTACATGCATGTTGGTGTGTTGTGTGTATCCGTGCATGCAGCTTGTCCATGTGAGCACATGCTTACACTCCATACATGCGGATCTAAACTTGACGTCAACGTTAAAAATCTCACCAAGTTGAAATTGTCCAACCTCTATTGTATCCACTGATGAGAGTGACAAGAAAATCGATTTTGGTTAAACCTCCTTTGGGACTCCTTTGTTGTGTGGCATGACCGCGGAACTAATATTATTCATTGCTATCGTTAAATTATTGTCTCCACGTCGCTTATTTCTCTTGTTTCTGTTTGCCAGGTAAAGCCAGCGGCTATGTGAAGTTGAAGATTGACGGATTCGAGAGCACCCTGTCCAGTACACCTTTCTTCTACTACCGGGATCCCGTTGTCCATGGTGTTGGCGGTGTCACGCCAACCAGCGGCATTATCAGGTGTGTGTGTATGTGTGTGTGTGTGTGTGTGTGTGTGTTTGTGTGTGTGTGTGTGTGTGTGTGTGTGTGTGTGTGTGTGTGTGTGTGTGTGTGTGTGTGTGTGTGTGTGTGTGTGTGTGTACTCTCGTTGGCCGCTAGCCTGCGGAGCGTGCTGCGTACCGTATTCAACGACCTACCCCATGTCTGCCGGCCCCTCGTATGAGGGGACATGTGACCGTTTTACGGCAATGTTCAGGACAGGTGTACGTGTGTAATTGTGTACGTGTGTAATTGTGTACGTGCGTGCGTGCATGCGTGAATGGAAACCCACTCGGCTTGCGAGTCATCAGCATGATCATGCAACATTCTCGGATTGCGCACACGCTGCTGGCCTTTGTTTACATTGTACAAATCATACCTGTGACACGCGATCAGAGTTTTCGCCGTCGGACAGCCCATATGCAAAGCTGCACAGTCTTGGGAGCTTATTCACTCCTGGCAGTACTTGCATGGTGGTGATAATGCGATCCATACACCTTCCATCTTAATTAACAGAGGTTGAGACTGGTCTGTACATGATTGGAATGATTGTAGCATGATTCTTACTGAGCAGCTTAGCATGCACTCAGTAGCACTTCTGTGTTCGTTTTCATCTTCCTCCACAGTGGCGGTATTGAGCTGAAGATCAGAGGCAGGCATTTCAGTGCTGTGCGGGACATGGGAATCATGCTGCGTGATACTACCGACGAGATAACTACGGAGAACTCCACGGTGAGGCGACGTGTCGATGCTGCTTCTCTGCGCTTTCCGACTGTGCGTGCGGGTCTTCTGTAAAGGCCGGTGTATGTGGGGTGTGATATTATTACAGTGAGACATGGGTATGACATACCTCCATGGATTGTAGCATTTGTGATCAGGCGCGTGCCCCGTATGGGTTCCTGGGTGCCCGGAATTCCCCCTCTTCGCTCAAAATGCAGGATTTTTTGAAATTTTTTGAAATTTTTCCCGGGGGAGGCCCCCGGAACCCCCCCCCCCCTTGAACGGCACCGCCGCACGCGCCTGGTCATATACAGCCCAGCTACCGTATAGCATAGTGCCGGGTCATATACAGCCCAGCTACGGTATAGCATAGTGCCGGGTGATATACAGCCCAGCTAGCGTATAGCATAATGCCGGGTCACCACTGATAGTACAGTGCTGCTCAATGGGATTTCCTGTGTTTGGCCGCTTGGCGCTGGGTCTGATCTGCTCACCTTCCACTGCTTAGGAGCTGCATGTACGTCTTTCATCCTAGAGGGTGGTGGCGTTACTACGGATGCGGGAACGCTTAGTCTAGCTGAGTATAGCGCCAACCGTGAATTATTGTAAATTCTTCGTTTTAGTAAAAAAGAGAAGAAAACACATGAGAACGAGTTATGCAGCAATTATCCACGACTGTGACAAGATGATACACAGTAAGTACGATAATAGGGCACAAAACTGACAGGCTGCTCTTTTTACATTTATTACTGGCTCAGTAGCCGAGTACTAGTATTCTTTTTAGAGTAAGGTTGTGCTGAGCTGTTTCTCTTAATTAACATGTACTGCTGTGCCATGTTTGTGTTTGTGTTCGTGTGTAGCTGTGTCTAGCGCGTACGAACACGACGGCGAGATGCCTCCTGCCAGGCTTCAGCTACACCACGCCATACGCACGACTGGTGCTGCTCCACGACGGCCACCAGACGGAGATTGCCAACAACTTTGGCGTGGCGGAGGACCCGATCATCGAGGACTCCAAGTTCCTCGGTGACGCTTCTAATAACCTGATGCAGGTCTCGGTAAGTGATACTGAAAGGAGGCACCCTGGAGTAGGTATATGTTTCATGGATGAGTTCCACCAAGGTCATTCCTCCAATCAACCTATGTCTTACTTGCCTGGTTGGATTCGACCGTTTTAGTTCAGCTTACCAAGTTGTGTGTGTGTGTGTGTGTGTGTGTGTGTGTGTGTGTGTGTGTGTGTGTGTGTGTGTGTGTGTGTGTGTGTATGTGTGAGAGAGAGTGTGTGTGTATTTGTGTGTGTGTCTGTGTGTGTGTGTGTGTGTGTGTGTGTGTGTGTGTGTGTGTGTGTGTGTGTGTGTGTGTGTGTGTGTGTGTGTGTGTGTGTTCACTGGCCAGAAAAAGCCACTTCATAGCTGTGTGGTGTAGACCAGGCTGAATAGTGGCGGTCAATTCTTCAGCCTTGCAAGCCGTTGAATGGTGCAATCCCAGCACAAGCTGCTATGGCTTCTTCCGTAGCATCGCTATCATCGCTATCATCGCCTCCGGCGATGGGCGCCCAATGGTCCAATGATGTATGTGTGACTTTGTGTGCACGTGTGTGTGTGTGTGTGTGTGTGTGTGTGTGTGTGTGTGTGTGTGTGTGTGTGTGTGTGTGTGTGTGTGCGTGCGTGGTTTGTATGTACATGTCCATGTATGTGTACTTGTATGCATGCGCAGGGTCAGAATCTGGACAGCGTTGCAGAGACTGAGTATCGCATATACGTTGGTGATATCCACAAGGCTAACCTGTGTGCAGTCAGCTCTGTGGAAGGCGAGGTGAGCTAACACCACACTCTACAGCACTACACTACACTACAGTACCCCCCCCCCCCCCCCCCCCACACACACACACACACCACACCACACCACACTGCACCAAACCATTCCACACGCCTATTTGTCACACTCCGTGAGCGATGAGCAAATGATGCGAAACCGCACCCAACTAAAAAGAACATTTCTCGCATTCTCTCACTGCAGACGATGGCCAACGAGACATAACACACCTCCAGCATGTTAGTAGTGAGGGCGATGGTAGAAAAACGTCCAGGATTTGCTTGGCTCATACAGTGTCTATCACAGAACATCACGTATGTTTAGGATGAGTGCACAGGAGTGAGCACATCACCTCTTGTGTATTTATTTACCGACCAATAACTACTTCTCAATGTGTGATGTGATTTTTTCATGGTCCACAAAGAGGCAAGGTGAACGTAAAGGAATATGCTGAAGCCAGCGAATGATGTTTCAGTTCCTTTCCAATCGAAAAGCTATTGTTCACTCATTGTTGTTCGTGTGTGTGTGCGTGTGTGTGTGCGTGTGTGTGTGTGTGTGTGTGTGTGTGTGCTCACATATGTGTGTGCATATGTGTATGTGTGCACGTGTATGTGTGTGTGTGTGTGTGTGTGTGTGTGTGTGCACGTGTATGTGTATGTGCGTATGTGTATGTGTGCATGCATGTCTGTATTCTGTTGTCCAGACAATCATCTGTCAGGTACCACGCAATCTCTCCTCGCAAGGACGTCGTACATACATGGTCACGGTAAGTGAATTTCCTCGCACTGTTGTACCTGGCCATGCAAAGGATAGATCTAAACCCTTCGAAGGGTGCGGACGAAGCCCCTTTCTTCCACCCGGCACCCTTGAATGGCCAAGCCTCCTTCCCGCTACATGTGCTCTCGAGTCATGGTTTGTTTTCACCGACGGTGGTTTCTGTGTGTTGCAGATTGACGTTGGCCGTGATCTTCGCTTCGACGTCGGACCCGTAGAGTTTCTCACCGCGTCCGCACAGGAACAACAGGACAAGGTGACGGGCATTGCAGGCGGTGTGGCGGGAGGAGCCGCGTTCCTGCTCATCATCTTCCTCCTGCTTTTCATCTACTGCCAGCAACGTGCCAGGGTTGCCGAGAATGAGGTGCTTCGCATGATCAACCGTATGGAGAACCTGGAGTCATCGGTCGCCACGGAGTGCCGAAGTGGTCAGTGTGGAGACGGTGTAGCTGTTTGTTTTCTACGTCCGTTTTGTCCTCTTCATCTGCTCTCTGTCTCTCTGTGTCTGTCTGTCTCTCTCATTCTCTCTGTTTCTCTCTCTCTCTCTCTCTCTTTCACTCTCTCTTTCTTTCTTACTGCCACTCACTCGCTCACTCTCTGTCTCTTTCTTGCTGTAACTAACCTTCACCCCTTGACCAGACAAGAACCATAGTATGCAACTACGTGCGGAAATAATAAGCAAATCGAATTTCGTAACATATTTCCACTCACTCACACACTCAATCACTCACTCATTTTTCCTCTTCAAGATACCACTCTCTTTTTAACGTTTTTATGTGGTTCAACAACCATGCTGTGGCATTCTATCTAGCTTGCACTTGGTAAAATCTGATGACCGGTGCACTTTGCTTTTGTTTATTTATTTATTCAACATCTCCTGGCTCGTCGTGAGACTGACTGCCAATATTTATGACTTTGCTTGCACGTAACACTTGTTCTTGCTTGTTTCCAGCTTTCACCGATCTCATGACAGACCTCGGTGATCACGGTATCAGCACGGCCGACGACAATCTGCCCTATCTCTCCTTCCACCAGTACGCCATCCGGTCACTGTTCCCGAACGCTGGCGACGATCATCCCAGCCTGCAGCCACTGGGACAGCGCTTGAAGGTACGTTGGCCATTGGAGACACCTGTACTCTGCTGTATTGCTGTATATAGCAAGGTTGTAACCATGTAAACAGCCAATCGGCAGCCTTAGCGAGTGTAGAGCAATTCCCGATGTTTCATGCTCAACTCAAGGGGGCATGCCAGTCTTAGTTGTAGAGTGATTTCACATCTATCACATGACCATACGGGGACAGCCATGTTGGTTCCAACTCCACTCAACCCCTGCATCTATGGGTCACATGATGTGGACCATATTGGTTCCATTGTCCATGTGCCAAGATCGCTTTCTACTCCAATTTTGTCGCAGGACAAAGATGTGACACCACACTATTTTCTAGGGGTCAAAGGGGTGTTCCGGGTACCCGTCCGTTAATCTCTGGTACCGTTAGTAAAAGGGTACCCGTTTGGATTTCGATGATCCAGCCAGTATGGAACAACACCGCTGGGATCGCGCATTCCCAGCGGGAGTCAATTATTTACAACTCCACCCTGGATGTCTGCATTGTTGTTGCATTTTCGCACCTAGTAGGTCTGCCTCTGCAACTATAAGACACAAATCAATTCGCGAATCACAATGTGATATCAAAATGCAACCTGAGACCAGATAAATTAAAATCATGATTTATGTAAAAAATGCGCAAAAATAAAACATGGCTGCTAAAGGGTACCCGTTAACCTGCCCGGTAAGAAAATTACCCGTTCGTTAGTTAAAGGTACACCCGTTTGACCCCTACTATTTTCTTTACCCGAATAACAGCTCAAAAGTAAAAAAATAAATAAAGGAAATAAATAAACAGTGAACGGATGAGTAAACAAGGAGGTTGCAGGCTGCCATTGTTTTTGTTGTTGTTGTTGTTTCTTTGCTGTTTGTGTGCGTAGCATCTTGGTCCAAGTCGTCTAGAGCACACTCGCCGGACACTGGCCACTTTCCAGAGATCACTGGTCTACAACAAGAAATTCCTGGTCACGTTTATCCATGCCATGGAGGCGCACTTCAGCATGAAGGATCGGTGAGTCGAGGACGCATGTTAAGCGGTTTGTGAACGAGTGCGTTGTGAGCGCGAGTGGTGATGATCTTGAGTCTGTGCTTGTGTGACGTACGATACATATGCTTGCTTGGCAGCTTGCTCAGTTCGGTTGATGATGATGATTAGTAAAATAATCTTTGTTGGCTTGTACGGATCCAGGTTTGAGTCACTTGCGACATTGACTCATGCAGTACAGCATATTTGCAGTGTTCTATGCCTCTCATATTATAATAATTTATTATTAGCCATAATCACTACTGTCTATGAATCTAATATCTAATCGGGGAAATGAGTTCTGGTTGGTCTACTGTGGATTTGTATATTCGTTGAAGCGCTTTTGAAATTCCGCGATGAAGTGTTCTTGTGTGTATGGGAATCCTGCATGTGAATCCTGTTGCCTTGCCTTGTCTCGTAGAGTTGCATTTGCATCCATACTCATGGTGGCACTGCACGACAAGATGGAATACGCTACAGAGTGAGTAGTGTATACTGGTATTTGATAAATGTGTGTGTGTGTGGGGGGGGGGTATATAAGTGTGTGTGTGTGTGTGTGTGTGTGTGTGTGTGTGTGTATGTGTGTGCGCGTGCGTTCGTGCTCCTGTGCATGTGTGTGTGTGTGTGTGTGTGTCTCTCTCTCTCTCTTTCTCCTCTCCTTGCAACCGTTTTTTGTCTATGACTTCTAAGTGACACTGACCCTGCCTGCCGTGGGAGAAACCAAAAAGTGAAGGTGCCCATTTTGGACGAATGTTCTGCAGACGTAGCTTACTGTTTCGTATGTATGTGTGTGTGTGTGTGTGTGTATGTGTTTGTGTGTCTGCGTGCACACCGATACTATTCTTGTGGTAGGGTTCTCAAGTGCTTGCTGGCTGATCTGATCAAGGCCTCGGTGCAACGCTCACATCCCATGTTACTGCTCAGACGGTAAGGCACACATCCACCATCTACTGTTCCCCGATAACCATATTCGCTGGAGTGAAAGGGGCACTTTGAACACTCAAAATTGAAAACGGGGGTGATAGCCCCGTGCGTGAAACAACGAATTGTTCTTCCTGTTCTTCCTGCTGTAAGGAGCTCTTCCCTTAGGCATCGAGCACTTTATTGGACATTTCTGTTTTATTAGCAGCAAACACTTGTTGGTGGCCAAAATTTGGCCCGGCCATGTCCTGACCAACTGGACTGGCTTTTCCCGCCCTGCATAACCAGGATATGCACGTTGTGTGCCTTCCTGTGGGCTCCCCGGGAGAGGACCACTAATGCACCAAACTGAATTGAGCTCGAATGGCTTGTATGTGATCTACTGTTTGGTCTGTGTTGCGTGCTCCTTCACCCACCCTTAGGATGGAGACGGTGGCTGAGAAATTGCTGGCAAACTGGCTGACGTTTTGTCTCTACGACTATATACGGGTATGTTCGGGCAGCACGGTGGCGCAGAAATGTGGGGAAATGAGAGCATGGGCACGGCACTCTCACGTTGCATGCATGCACATTCACCCAAGTACACACACACATACAAATGCGGCAAGACAGACAAGAGTTCGTTTGGGATCGCGACACACAGGTGAAGGCGAAAGGAACCACCACCACACCCTTACACGTGCAATGCACCACACACTCGCATAGGAAATATACCACACACTCGCATAGGAAATGTACCACACACTCGCATAGGAAATGTACCACACACTCGCATAGGAAATGTACCAGAGAGAGAGAGAGAGAGAGAGAGAGAGAGAGAGAGAGAGAGAGAGAGAGAGAGAGAGAGAGAGAGAGAGAGAGAGAGAGAGAGAGAGAGAGAGAGAGAGAGAGAGAGAGAGAGAGAGAGAGAGAGAGAGAGAGAGAGAGAGAGGCAATCATGCACATTGAGATGGGTAGTGAACCACTGGATCATCATCCGAACCAACTTATAACCATGCCTTTAACTGCAAGACTTGTCCATCTGCCACCCTGACAATGGTGGTGGCCTGCCATTGTGAAACCTCCTAAGCTGGTTGTGTTTCTCAACACATCTGAATAGCCGAGGGTAACGCGGACGTGCGAACTTTTCCATCTTTCTCTTATGCACCGCAGATGCACGCCGGTCGACCTCTGTACATGCTCTACCAAGCTGTCAAGAGCCAGACAGAGCGAGGACCATGCGATGCGCTCACGGGTGAAGCAAGGTATTCGCTCAGCGAGGAGAAGCTGCTGCGAGAGCCGGTGAGAGTTCTTGACCACCCCACTCATACGTGTATGTATGTGAATGGATGCTGCGTAAATTTTGAAATTTTAATTGGCTGCGTGTGTGTGTATAGCGACACGTGTTTGTGCATGTATTATGTGTGTTCACGGTGTGGGTGTATAGCGGCACGTGTTTGTGCGTGTATACGTTTGTTGGTGGTGCATGTATAGCGACACATATTTGTGTGCGTACATCATGTTTGCGTGTGTGTGAGGTGTGGGGGGGGGGGGGGTATTTGTATGTGCTTGCACGTGTGCGTGCGTGCGTGTGCACGCGTGTGTGCGTGCGTGTGCACGCGTGTGTGCATGGGCGGCATGTATCTGACCACGTTAGCCGTTACGAGCAGTAACTATGTGATACGTGGCAAGCTCAGACTGAATTCCGCTCTGCTGCATGGTGTTCTCACCCGGGCACTGAACAGGTGGAGTACAAGGAGTTGATGTGCACGTTCCATCGCGGCGACGAGGGCTCCTCGTTCCCCGTGCGTCTGCAAGATTGTGACACCATCTCACAAGCAAAGGAGAAGATTATGGACGCCACGTACAAGGTATGTGTGTGGTGGTGGAAATGTATGGTATCCGTCATGTAATGCCTAGGGCAGATTCACGGCGAGGGGAGGTGTTGTGTTCGGTACACCATTTTGCAATGGTGTACCCATTCCTTGTGTTTGGCGGCTGTATCCCGCGTTGCTGCTAACATCAACAACAACGAAGTAGCTGATGAGCTGCGCTTTCACAAATTGCTCATGAGAAACGATGTGTGTAGCGTGTTAGAATCAACTCACTCGCTCTGGACTCGGGACTGTGTTTCTGCGCCCGTGCGGTTCTGTCACTTGTGTGTGCACATGTGTGTGCGTGCACATGTGTGTGTGTGTGTGTGTGTGTGTGTGTGTGTGTGTGTGTGTGTGTGTGTGTGTCCCATATGGTGCAGTGGTATGTGCAGCGATTTCCAATCGATAGGTTGCGGGTTCGATTCCCGACGATTATGGTCACACACGTCTTTCTTCTCTTTCTCAGACTCTTCCTGACTTTTCTTTCATTCTCCTGGGTGGTTACCAACATCCAGTGCATGCCGGAGTATGTGGTGTGGTGTGTGTGCGGGAAAAAAGACCAAAAATAGGGATTCACTAGCCAGAAAAAGTCACTTCAATTAGCTGTATGGTGTAGACCAGGCTGAATAGTGACGGTCAATTCTTCAGCCTTGCAAGCTGTTGAATGGTGCAATCCCAGCACAAGTTGCTATGGCTTCTGCAGTAGCATTGCTATCATCGCCTCCGGCGATGGGCGTCAAAGGTCAAAGGTGTGTGTGTGTGTGTGTGTGTGTGTGTGTGTGTGTGTGTGTGTGTGTGTGTGTGTGTGTGTGTGTGTGTGTGTGTGTGTGTGTGTGTGTGTGTGTGTGTGTGTGCGTGCACATGTGTGTGTGTATGTACACGCATGTTTGTGTGTGTGTGTGTGTGTGTGTGTGTGTGTGTGTACGTTCGTGCGTGTGCGTGCATGCATGCGTGCCCTTCTGGTATGTGCTTGTGGGCATAATTATTATTATTCTACTTGCTGATATGCAGACATCGCCAGTATCAATGAGACCCGACCTGGCCTCCATAGACTTGGGTAAGTGGAACTGATTAGCTTGTGCCCCTACGGATTCTCCAGAGGTAAATTGGTACCTATCATGGGAGTATCTCCAAACCAATAGTGTAGTACACACTTGTTATGCTCCAGCCAAGACTTGGATCCAGACCGTACCGTCTGGATACCATTACATTTTCCCTACCCGATCTCCCTTTGGTGCGTCCATGGAGCTATGAAACCGAGACCTCTGGTCCACTGAGCACTGAGCTTAATGGACCCCACCACCACACTCCATTATTCACCCCAGTGCCTGGAGATACATTGGTTTTGTTGAAGGAAAAAACTGTAAAGCTATGATTATTAGTATCTGCACAGTCACTACCCTGTCACACAGGGCAAGGCAGGTCAACAGTTTTGCAAGAACTTTCCTTGTGATGATCATCAGTTGGAAAATACCTCACCGTGAAAGCAAACTGTGTATGATTAGAGAGGTTGTGCATAACGAAAATTCGTAAAGATCTTTCGGAATCTGAGCCATCTGGAAGTGACGAAAATTCGTAAAGAAAATCTGTTGTGCTCAACGAAAAACGTAGTGTTACCATGGTGACCCTTTCGAGTACTTTTTCCGCTGTTTGAATCAAGTGCAAGTGTGCACTCCGGCCCACGTGTAGGCACACCACCGAACTGAGTTGGGCTCAAGTCTCCCAGCTGACAGGCAACGGTCTCCATGGCTGGAGACCCTCGTCGAAACGGTTTGTCGTGAGAACGGAGCTGCCTGAGAAGGGCCAGGTCCATCGCGAGATCAAATGTCCTTCGCTGAGACGTCGCAGGGGAAGACGAAGACGCCGAAGTGGCAGAATTCTGCTGCGAGGATTCAGCAGAATAATTTGTCACAGGGCGAGCACTGACAGGACTTCCAGATCTGACAGAACTGACAGAACTAGCCGAGCGCTGTCCAGGTGACAGAGGATCGCTGAGAGAGCGGGAAAGAGATCCATCAGCTCCACAGGATGCCCAGTAGGAAGAACTCGCAGAACGACTTGAAAAGGCCATGGCGAAAAACTCTTGACACCACGTGCATCAACACAGCTACATGTACATGTATACAGAAGCTTGCGAGAAAGAAGCGAAAGTTCAAAACGTAAGATCTTCAAGTTTCGCGATCATCCTCGCGAAAGTTCCTTTCCTTTTTCGTTACTCGTGCCCAGACTACGTCTAAGTTACGAATTTTCGTTATGCACAACCTCTCTATTGTTATCCTGTTGTTGGAAAATACATCACGAAAAATACTGTTTGGAAAATACATCACGAAAAACACTGTTTGGAAAATACATCACGAAAAATACAGTTTGGAAAATACATCACGAAAAATACTGTTTAGAAAATACATCACGAAAAATACTGTTTAGAAAATACATCGAAAAACTGTGTATGATTAGTATCCGATTGTTGTGTTGTGCTGTGCAGCAATGGATACTGGCGACAGCAGCTCGTCGCCCACCATACTCCGTGACGAGGACATCACCACTGTGCAGGAGGGATACTACAAGCGCATCAACACGCTCACGCACTACGGGGTCAGTGTCTGTCTGTGTGTATGTGTGTGTGTGTGTGGCCAGATAAAGCCACTTCAATCAGCTGTGTGGTGGATACCAGGCTAAAATTAGTGGCGGTCAATTCATCAGCCTTGCAAACTGTTGAATGGTGTAATCCCAGCACAAGTTGCTATGTCTAACATAGCTGTTCGCTATCATCGCTTCCGCGATGGGCAGGTCTGAGGTCTGAGGTGTGCGTGTGTGGGGGGGGGGGGGGGGGGGGGAGGGGGGGGGGGGGGGCTTGTGTTCGCATGTACATGTAACTATAGCTCTTCTTCTACACGTGTTTTCTGTTGTGTATTGTATGTCGTGCGGTGTCTGCCGGGTGTCTTCTTCGGTATGTGTGTGTCTGCGGTGTGGTGTATGCCGTGCGGTGACTGCTGCGTGTTGTCTGCCGTATGTCATCTTCTGCAAGTACATGCATCTGTCCCCTGCCATGTGTTTTCTGCCCTATGTCATCCTCTGTACGTATGTGTCGCCTGTCATGTGTTTTCTGCCGCTGCAGGTACCCAATGGAGCAAACTTGCGCTTTGTGAAACGCGGCGCGCAGTCGGGGAAATCCGAAAGTGAGTTTCTGGGCCATGTGGATATACGTAGAGGGCACCTTTTTCCAACCCCTCCCGCTCTACCCCTTCACCATAGTTATCTAGCAGCATGACTCTGGAGGAGGATGTATGCACACATATAATAATATGATATCATGTAGTTAGGCAAATTTGCCTGTTTGTTCTTCGACTCTAAATAAACAAACAACAACGCACGGTTTAGGGCCTATGACCATCTAAAGTTTCTGTTGTGATCACCAGGCAGTTGTGCTGTATGAGTCAGGATGGCCGAGTGGTCTAAGGCGCTGCGTTCAGGTCGCAGTCTACTTCTGTAGGCGTGGGTTCGAATCCCACTTCTGACATCAAAACACTTTTTTTCTTCCTTTTTCTTCCTTTTCCAGGAAGCGGCGATTTCATTGGAACCATGGTGTTTGCACCCCCGACTCAGCTCACTCTACCCATGAACGATGACGGAATGAAACCCTATCATCTGGTACGTACCGTGTGCTGCGCTGGCCTGTGCTATGCTGCGCTGTGGTGTGCTGTGAGCTGCGCTGTGCTATGCTGCACTGCGGTGTGCTGTGAGCTGCGCTGTGCTATGCTGCACTGCGGTGTGCTGTGAGCTGCGCTGTGCTATGCTGCACTGCGGTGTGCTGTGAGCTGCGCTGTGCTGCGCTGTGCTGCACTGTGCTGGTTTATTTTATTTTTTTTTCGATACGAAAGTCCACAATATTCCCCGCTGTGCTGTGTGCTGCGTTGCGCCATGCTGTGCTGTGCTGTTGCCACTATTCTGTATGTGCATCACAATCATCATGACTCTGCTGTGAAAATGCAAGAGTGTTGTATCGTGCGTTTTTTTCCAGTTTTCAACGGGGGAATATCTTATCATAGGTCCACTGTACGTGTAGTTTGAACTGGCGGCAGAGTGTACTTTCCATCTCGCAAGCTTGTGTTGTGTGAATTATATTCCCGCCTCTACTCGCAGGTAAAGCAGCCAAATTATTGCTTTTTCAGGATCTCGAATTTGCAAACAAACTTTCGATCTCGCAAGCTTGTGTTGTGTGAATGATACTCCCGCCTCTACTCGCAGGTCAAGAAGCCAAATTATTGCTTTTTCAGGATCCCGAATTTGCAAACAAACGTTCCGTCTCGCAAGCTAGTGTTGTGTGAATGATATTCCCGCCTTTATACTCGCAGGTAAAGCAGCCAAATTATTGATCTTTCAGGATCCCGAATTCGCAAACAAACTTTCCGTCTCGCAAGCTAGTGTTGTGTGAATGGTATTCCCTCTCATCTGTACTTGCAGGTCAAGCAGACGGAGTACGAATTACCGCCCGAGCGTCAAACCGTCAAGATGGTGCACGAGGTGTTCCTTACACGTCTGCTCTTCACAAAGGTGAGATGGAGCGCAGTATTTGCAGGATCTGAGCAGGGTTTGAGCGAGGAGAATGCTCTTGACCAAAACTTACCTGTGCATGTGTGGCGGCAGTGCCAGAAATTAATATTCAGTTCTCCAGTTCTCCGACTTCATCATCTAGTTTTGTGTGTTAGATTCAAGAAGCTCAGAGAAGCTATTCATAGGCCTACATCTGCCTGTCTGCCTGCATGTCGGTCTGTGTGTGTGTCCATCCGTCCGTCCATCTGTCTATTCACACGTCTTCTTTCTTTGCGTCATGTCGTCATTTCAGAACGTTCTGCAGCGCTTTGTCAACGACCTGTTCTGCAAGATGTTCAGCATGAGCACCTCGTCGAAGACAACACCGCCGGTGCCCGAAGCCGTCAAATACCTGTTTGATTTCCTGGAGCAGCAGGCCAGTGAGAATGGTATCGACGAGCCGGATGTGGTGCACACATGGAAAAACAACAGGTAGATAATGCAGAGCTGCTTGGAATGCAAAGCCTGATAAATCGATTTCATCACTTTTTGGAGAATGGCCAAAAAAGGATTCATTTTAAGTGCGTTTTATCTAAATCCATACTTGGGTTCCAGTTTTGGTATAAGAGTGCTCTTACTTTCGCGATTTCACACCCATCGCAAAAATCGCGAATGTCTTAGGATTGCAAAGGCTTCTGGGTTTACAATGTTGTTGCTCTACAAGCTAATGCCATGTGATGCTGTTCTGATGCTGTTTTTTTGTCTTTTCACACTCTCTCTCCCAGTGTACCGCTGCGCTTTTGGATCAACATCATCAAGAATCCTGACTTTGTGTTTGATATCCACAAGAGCGCCACTGTGGACTCGAGCCTCTCAGTGGTGGCACAGGTAACTCACGACGCCGCCGCCACGCTGATCACTGCTGCAATCCCCTCTATAGCGAGAGGTGCAAATTGACTGGACTTTAGGGGCCATCCGGCATTCTCGATAAATTTATAAATTTCACGGAACGAAAACGTTTAGTCATGACCTGCCCCCAGCCACCCACCCACCCTCAACAAAAATAGATTAACTTGACAGCTAGAATGGATTGATGTTTCAGCTATCGATATTTGTCTTAACGAAACTCTCCTCGACCCACCCACCCATAAACGGAAACTTTTTCGTTTTGAATAAAAAAAATTGATAATTATGGATGGCTACTTAGTTTATTAATGCACGCACGTTCATCCAGATATTCGTTACATCTAGCACTTCGTTACATCTAGCACTTCGTTGACGTCATTGATTAGTTATAAAGTTGTAGTCACTCAGCTGGCTCTGTCTACGACCACCTTACTCTCATCTGCAAACCCGGTGGTGAAAAATACAACCGCTTTCTCCGCTCCCGCTTCACAATCAGAGGCTCTGCAAGGGTGCACTTGCAAAGTTCGTCACACAAGCTAGGAATTTCAGACGTTCCAGAGAACGAATGTCAACGGGTCTGATTGTACGGCCCTGGGGGGGGGGGCTAAACAGAAGTTTGTTCTGTCATTTGGCATAATAATCAATTGATGATGTCAAAGTTAGATAGTTATGCCATAATATGTGTGTGTGTGTGTATGTGTGTGTTCGCTCGTTTATGCATATGTGTGTATATGTTCGTACGTGCGTGTATTTGCTGTTGTACAGATGGTCATGGATAGCTGTGGCACGGCTGATCAACGGTTGACTAAGGTAACTGTTGTCATAGGAAAATATGTGTATGCGTGTGTGTGTGTGTGTGTGTCTGAGGGGTGTGTGTGTGTGTGTGCTCTACTTGTGGATTCTAAATCCATAGCTGCCAAAGATGGCTCTCTCGTCGTGCCAATTGAACATGGTCCCTGATCTCTCGGCAGACTGCCGATTTTCTGCCGTCGCTCGTCGTTTCCATGTTGTCGGCACCGCAAGGGGACACGTGACCATATTGGCAGTGTTTACCAGGACCAGGACAAGGATGTGTGCACATGCTGTCTCTCTGAGTGTGTTAGGGTCCTTGGGAGGGATGGAGAGCACAAGGGCTCAGTTTCTGAGAATGGAAAGAGAAAAACTAGTCGTCCCAGACACATGACTGTGTTGGAGAGAATGAGCAACCATGAGCAGCTCGACCGGGTGTTTGAGTTCTTGTTGGCCGGGTTTGACACTAGCCTGCAACTGGCACTAGCCTGCAACTGGCACTAGCCTGCAACTGGCACTAGCCTGCAACTGGCACTAGCCTGCAACTGGGACTCGCCTGTAAGTTGCCTGTAAGTTGCCGATGGAGCACTGACATGTTTTGGTTTCCTTTCACCCACTGCAGGAATCACCCACGACCAAGCTACTGTATGCAAAGGAAGTGCAGACGTATAGGAAACTCGTTGAAAAGTAAGTCTGGCATTCTCTTATGTACAGAATTGCTTGGCCACTTGTAATAGTAATCTTGTAATTCAAACAGCCATAACAATGAATATCACACGCGTGAAATGCATAGCAACAATGCACACAGCAGCAACCCTTTCCCATACTTGTAAAATTCAAAGTGGCGTGAATTACTTTCCAACTGCGTAACCCGCAGCCCCACCCACCTCGTCTCACTTTCTCATAGGCTTATCTCTTATTGGCGATGGGGCCATCGTGAGCATAAAGAATTCAAAATACAAGATAACAAGCTGATACAAGCTGATTATCGAAACAGCTGCTGTCTGAAGGACCAGAGTACCACCTGAAGTGTCGTTTTGCTGATAATGTGCTGTGGCAACGTGTTGAGGTCGGCCAGAGAGCGCAGTGGTATGGTGTGGTGGTTGATCAGATTACAACCTAGTGTATCCAACTGATCACATTGCAGCTGTATCATATGACAATGCTGTACCTGCTGGGCATCTTACGTGTTAAGCCGCCGTTCCACCCATCTTCCTCTGTACTGACCAGTGTGCGTGTACTAGTACGTAATGTTTCAACACATAAAGCCATGGTTTGTGTTTTGTTTGTTTGTGTGCGTGTGTGTGTGTGTGTGTACGTGCGTGTGTACGTGCGTGTGTACGTGTGTGTGTGTACGTGTGTACGTGTGTACATGTGTGTGTGTGCGTGTGTGCGTGCGTGCGTGCGTGTGTGTGTGTGTGTGTGTGTGTGTGTGTGTGTGTGTGTGTGTTTATGCGTGTGTGTGTGTTTATTGTGCGTAGATACTACGCTGACATTCAGGCAATGCCGGTGATACTGGAGGGTCGCATGCATGATATCCTCCAGCAAGTATCCGTGGTAAGGGGTTTAGGCGTGCAGAAGATGGATACTGTTTATTAGCCAATATCCGGTGCATATTTGTTTTCAGCCCGAGCTTTCAAGGCCAAACATTTGTTACGGCTGAAGTATTTTGGTAGCGATAGGTTGTTCGTTTGACCCCACAAGACCTCACGACGCTTGCAGACGACGCCAGCCACACTCCACGATAGCAAGTAGTGTTACACCTGACGAGTCCTGTTCCATAAAGATGACGGGAACTCATCAGGGGAGAAACAAACAGTTAAGCTGAAAAATGCTATTTTATAGAGAAGATACTGGCGCAAGGTGTGAACACTCAACTAACTCACATTATTTATGTGAGAAATCGACACAAAAAGGGATAGTACAGAATGGAGGTGTTACGAACCCTATCAGACATAACTACCGGTATGACAAGTGCTAAGTTGATCACAATGAGAAGGAGAGGTACACACGAATAGGTTGCACTATAGTTTGCACGTCACAAAGAGTACTGGGGTGGTGACGAAAATAGGTGAAAAGTAGACGCCAAGTCAAATCCTACGAATCATCATAATTATTACAGAGCATCAGCAAGTCCAATTTTCGCTTGAAATTCGAGAATCGTCACTAAAGGCACTCTACAAGTCGAAGCTAGCTACTAGGGCTTTGTTCCGCTGTAAAAGGCACATGAACAGAAAATTTGTTTCGAATGCAGCTCAGCGGCGGGCTCCATGTACTTGAGCAGTGGCCTTGCACAGAGCTGCAGTAGATCTACATGATGCAGTGGTACTCTCCTGCACATCACTCCAGTACATATCCGGGCTGGCTGATTGACAGGGCAATGTGTGATAATTATATTGATGTGTGTGTGTGTGTATGTGTGTGTGTGTGTACGTGTGCGCGTGCGTGTGCGTGTACATGTGCGTGTGTGCAGGGACCAGACAGAGGAGGCTTCCACAAAGACAGTGCTATGTATGATGTGTTCATCTACGGCCTACATTACCGTGATTCGGTGAGTGTGTGTGTGTGTGTGTGTGTGTGTGTGTGTGTGTGTGTGTGTGTGTGTGTGTGTGTGTGTCTGTGAGTGTGTCTGTGTGATGTTTGCTGCAACGTGCTACATACACGAATGTACAGTCAACTCCACCTATAACGAACTCGTAGATTAAGTCCCTGTTTGAACCCATGCAAAACTGACGCTTTGCAACGAACTGTTTTCGTAAATAATGAACCATTCCCTATAAGGCTGCAACCACACTAGGTACAAAACTGCGTAAACGCAACTTTTCTGCTTATGTCGTCAAGGAAACGCGTGCGAAACGCGAAACGTACTGCGTTTCTTTTCAGCAAACCGGGTACCCCTGTAGAAAGCAACTTTTCGCCTTTTCCTTGCGTTTCGCTCTGTTCTTCACACGGCCGGGTAGATGTTTCTTAGAATTCTTCTTGAGGCTTGCACTGTGTGGGTAGTAGACGGCTTCCTTGTCAGTTTGTAGTATTTGAGATTTCATCTGCCAGGGCTTTGCTTTCAGTTAATTTCCGGACAGTCCTGTTGCCTGCTGTTGTTAGTTCGAGATGCCGCGCAACTACATTGTATTTCGCTGATAATCTCGAACTGAGAAGCTCATGCAGCTTGGGACAGCGTACCAGAAGACGAAGCAGGGCCAGATGACAGCCTGGAGCGGACCATCTGAGAGTAGGAGATTACCAAGGCCTTGAACGTGTATGTCAAGGCGCTCGCGACTCTTTTTCAAACTACTACATGTACATACATTTTCACAGGGCGATTTTTCTGGGACCCAGAAATGTAGACAAAGCGCAAGGATTCCTTGCGCATGAAATGGCAGTGTGGATGCGACTTTGCGTTATCTAAAAGCTGAACGCAAACGCGTACTTGATTTTGTACGTAGTGTGGTTGCAGCCTAAGTCTGCATGATGACCACGTGTCTTCACACAGCCATGGACCACTTGCCAGTCGTGACCTGTTGCTTGTATAATAGTAATAGTAATGATACCTTTATTAGGTTGACCCAGAGGCTTGTCGCCTATCAAGGGGTTATAGTGTGAGTGCATTTCTGTTATAACAAACTTCGGCTATAAGGAACTAATTCTCCTGCACATTGGTGTTCGTTATATCAGGAGTCGACTGTAATACTTCTTAGGGTGGTGGTTGTGTAGTGTGCACTGACCATGCTCCAACTCTCGTTCCTTTCCAGGTGGCCGCCGCATTGAAGAAGGAGGGCCTGCTGGATCTGATGCGCCAGTTTGAGGAGACGTGCGACGAGCTCGCTCACGGATTCGACGAGAAGTCGTCCAGCCTGTGAGCGTAGTGGACAATGGGCAATGGGACGTATGTATATCAATTTCACGTCATCAGGTTTTGCGGGGCAAGTCCACTACAGCCGTGCACACTGTGATGCCAGCGCTGCATAAAAGGCCATGAACTTTGTGTATGGCCATACTCCTATATGACTGTACTAAAATGGGTCGTATATGCCAAATATGTGGCAGCTTGCCCCGCCAGAAATGGTGACGGACGTCTTCGATGCATACCTCCCCGCTGTCAGTGCTCTGCTCTCGGCGCCACTGTAGCACGTTGCTGCTGCTGCTTGATTGTCCCGCCCGGCACGGCGCACGGCGGAGAACACCACCGCATGCAGAAGTACACTGCTACGGGGAGCGACGGTGACGGCCTGTATCTGCACAGCCCAGCAATCTCTCTGTCCCGCACCGCCATGCTAGCCGGACGGCAAATGTTCAGATGCTCAGCAACTGCTCTTTTGCTAGTTTTGACATGCTCAGCAGCTGCTCTACTGTTAGTTTTGACATGCTCATCAGCTGCTCATCTGTTAGTTTTGACATGCTCATCAGCTGCTCATCTGTTCGCGGATCCACCGCTGGCGCCTTGATCCACTGTTGACGCGCACATGTGTGCGACTTGATTTCCCGAAACTTCGCCGGAGATCACACAGCTATTATTACAAGTCTTCCTCCTAGTTCTGTAATCTGCTTGGATTTTCTGTTAATTTTTTTAAAACTTATCGGTTTTAGACTTTCTAAATTTGGCTAGGGCGCTGCGAAATCAGGTTTATCTTTGAATTGCTATCCAGGGAAGAAGCTTGCTTCTGTTGCAGCGTGTTGCCATGCAGGCATGACTAAACCCAGAGCTATACATGCATGTCGTAGCGTGTTCAAATCCAGACAGAATTTTATGTATAACAACTCACATATTTTCATTTGAACTGCAACTTTCGAAAGTTTCCATCCCATTTTTTCGCACACAGTTGATGATGATAATAATTATACTAATTCTTCGCATTTACTTTCCACTTGCCCCCCCCCCCCCAAACGTTATTAATTTTCAGTGTAAGGTAAATCTCATGTTCCATTTTCTATAAAATCAATATCTACATGTGACAACTATTCTCAGGAGCTACAGTACCAGCAGCATGTTAGCAGCACAATCCCATTCTTATCAGGGAGCAGGAAACTACCAGCACAGTAAAACCTGTAACTAAAGACCACCTTGACTAGCGACCAGCCTGGTACTACAGACACCTTCGCCATCATAGGCACGGACGGTCTCGTATTCATTGTGGTTGTGTGGTGGAAACCTCTAACTAAGGACCACCTGCCACTAAAGACCGCTTTCTCTGGCCTCAAGGGGTGGTCGTTAGTCACAGTTTTTACTGTACTACAGACCACTTCGCCAGGCACGGACGGTCTCACATTCACTATGGTCGTGCGGTGCAAACCTCTAACTAAGGACCACCTGCCACTAAAGACTGCTTTCTCTGGGCCCAAGGGGTGGTCGTTAGTCACAGATTTTACTGTATTTCGATACTCGCCGATTTCCTCTGCATGCGCAAAAGTCTGAGTAAGGGGTCGTCGCAAAAGATTATTGTCGCCGCTGAAACGAACATCGTTCAGTTCGTGCTCAGTGTAGAAGGGGAACTACTGTAGGGGACATGGAAATCCAGTCGATTAACCGGGGCCGGCGCCCTCAGCGCGTACAGAACGCTGCATGCAGTGCACAATCATGTTGATGCGATGCGACCAGCAGCGCGTAATAGTACAATCATGCATGCGTGTACTGCTTACCTACAGCTGCATGGCCAGCACCCTGGGGCCGCTAGACGTGCGACCGGATTTCCATGCCCACGACAGTACATTTTGGAGAATAATAATTCCTGATGGCTTTGCAAATTGCAATTTATTTTTCACCTACATACAGGTTGCACACAAGCACACACATCAACGGACTCACACACGGACACATACCAGGAGCGTAAGCGCACCTTACGATGCGTCAAGATGCGTGTCGTAAGCGCCATTTGTGGAGGTGGATAACAGTTAGCAACAAAAGCACGTAGGTGAAAATAATGATCCAAAGGTCAACGGAAAATAAACAGTAATTCGAAGTATATAATGCATGCATCAATAACTTCTCTATGAAAATACCTCATGCTGTACTTGAGCAAGAAGCTGGCATGCTCCCACTGTCACATCGCTGAAACAAAATTCTAATAATGTACAGCTAACTAGTTATCAGGTCACGTGAAGCCATTTTAATCTCAGGTCTTGCTATGCTTGATAAGATAGCCTTCAGTTCAGCACAGCTAGTGTGTCAGCGGATTTTCCCACACTGTTGAATCAGCACAAGTACACGAGTATCCATGAGAGGGTTTCGGCATCGTTCATGCGAATACCGTCCAAAACAAGAAACACAGAGAACATGGGATACTTGTTCAAATCACTTGCAATCAAAAAGTCTAAGAAATAGTCTGCTGCTTCCTAATAAATCTGACAGCGAATGTCCAGAGAGGTATATGGACAAATAAATAATATAAAAGAGAGAGAGAGAGAGAGAGAGAGAGAGAGAGAGAGAGAGAGAGAGAGACAGAGACAGAGAGAGAGACAGAGAGAGAGAGAGAGAGAGAGAGAGAGGGAGAGAGAGAGAGAGAGAGCCGGAGACGGAAGGCGTAGATGTGACAACGAAGAAGAGGGTGTGCACATGTGCATGAGAGAAAGGCATGCAAGCACGCAGGACAGGGAGAGACCTGGATAAACACGCAACGTTTTATGTGTGAGCGTGCGCACTAGCGCGCGCGCGCGCGTGTGTGTGTGTGTGTGTGTGCGCGTGTGTGTGTATGTGGTGCAGTGCAAACGTGTGAGTACACATCGAATGCAAGCGTAGTACGCCCATGGCCAGGAAAATGCGCCTTCACACGTTCTGGCAGTTAGGGTACATGGGGAAGTTGACTCCATCGCGCACACACTTGCAACTAGCATACTGCCAAAGTGAATGAGTAGTCGACAAATGCACCGGTAGATCCAGCATGTGGCACAATGGCTGTGTTTGTATTGGGCACGCCCCGTCGCGTGTCATGCCACACTTGTGAGAGGGCGGGACTGTGCGCTGGGTGACCACAACCAGGGTGCACATGCTTGGGAAATCTATACATAATCTTGTGCGTGCACAGGCGCAGCAGGCACATCAGCAAGCACGCCCTCGTGTGATTTGCAGTGCTGCAGCAGTTTCCGCAGCAGCAGGACTTAGCACAGACTTGGAGCGGCGGCCGAAGCTCGGCACCGAGGGATTGCTGGGTCTACTCGACGCACCAGTCATGGGCGAATTCTGCGGCACGTTGAACGATTTTGTGCGGGCGCGCGTGCGCTCGGTGACCGGTCCCGGCTCGGTCCAGGAGTAGTCCTGGGATGTCCTCATTGCCAGCATGGCAGCGCTGGGGACGTCCTCGAAGCCGGCGGAGTCGGTGCGCGTCAGACGGCGTCCGGCCGGGGACCTGCCCCGCGTCGGCGATGGCGATCGGTCCAAGCTGATGCTGGACGAACGAAGGAACGGAGGCTCCGGGACCGGCTGCAGGAACTGCTCGTGATGGCTGCCCACACTGCGGCTCTGCGGACGGAGGCTGTTCAGACCTTGACAGCCCAGCGACCGCGTCCTGTTCAACGGCAGCTCGTCCTCCTCCGCCGAGCGGAAGTACTTTGGTTTGTTTGCACTTTGTTCAGCTTGGCTGCGGGAAGTCAGCCCTTCCTTATCAGTCACGTATTTGTTGCCCGCATCTGCGTTGCCAACGGTCTCAACGCCGATGTTGACTTCATCGTGATACGATTCGGCTGTGCTGCCATTGCGAAGCTGAGTATATTGCTGAGGTGCGCGTCGCCGTAGTAACCTATTGATGATCTTGCCTGCCGGGGAAAAGCATATGCAGACACGCGGATTCAAGCAAGCACACACGCGCGTGCGCGCACACATACACACACACACACACGCACACACACACACGCACACGCACACACACACACACACACACACACACACACACACACACACACACAACAGAGGAGTGGCTTAGTGTGCACTGAGAGTAGAGAATACTGACAAAATAACTTGTAATTTTATTTATTTCTGCACCTCGTAGCATGTCAAGACAGCCAATTGAATTGAGGAGAGGGTGCGACCAACCACGGAAGAGAAAAAAGAAAAAGACAAGCACGCACACAAAAAGGGTAGGGATTAGCAAGTTACAAAGCAATGGGATGCCCAGGGAGCTATGCAGTGGAAGTGGTGACTGTGATTTTGTCTACTGGAAGATACTGAAGTGCTGTCTGACGAGGGTACGGAATTTGGGCATATCTGGAGCTCGCCGAATGTTGTTGTTGTTGTTGTTGTTGTTGTTTCAGATCTTTCTTCTCACGATAGCCTGTGGCCAATAATAGATTGTTGTTGTTGTCGTTGTCGACGAGGTCGTTGTTGCTGCTGGTGCTGCTGCTGTCGTTGCTGCTGCTGCTGCTGCTGTCGTTGTTGCTCTCAATGCTGCTGCTCAGTGTTCCTGTTCAAAGTGCTCCCCTACGGGATACTTACAATGTTTACAGAGCACACTGAGATCATCCTTACCTGTGTTAGAGTTGTAATATATCAACACCACAACGAGGGTTACGCATAGGACGATGATCACCACCGACTTGCCCAGTGCCGACGATGGGGTCTGGGGCGGCGAGCTGGGCGGTTCACTTGACACTGCTGATGTGTTCACAGCCGGCGTCACTCTGTGTAGACTTGATTCTGATGTTGCTGGGCATAGAATAGCACATGCAGAAGAACAGGACAGTTTCTCACACACTGGGTGGTATACATTGTATTACAGGAAATCAATTTTACACATTGCCTGCTCCTGTCTCGGATTTTGCTCCTTTTAACGTTAGGTGTTGCAGTACGGATTTCCGTTCGACATGTGGTGGTGGTGGTGGTGCTGATGGTGATAGTGGTGGTGGTGATAGTGGTGCTAGTGGTGGTGCTAGTGGTGGTGGTGCTGGTGGTGATAGTGGTGGTGGTGATAGTGGTGGTGGTGGTGGTGGTGGTGGTGGTGCTGGTGGTGGTGGTGCTGGTGGTGGTGGTGATAGAGAAGGGCCTCTTTTACGGGCAATCCAGAGAAAACTGAATGGTGGTGCTGGTTGTGATAGTGGTGGTGGTGATAGTGGTGGTGCTGGTCATAATGATCTCAAATACCCCGTCGTCATGGGTATGCTGCGTACCCGATTATCATTTTGCCTTTTGCGGTGGGCAATTACTTGCTTCCGTGGATGCCGTGGCTCGTATAACAAAAGACGTTTGAATTCATTTGTTGCTCAGTGCCGTCAGGCTCGTTAGTGCATTGCACTTGACCTGCGCAGAATATCACATATCACTTCAATAATTATGTGGGATTAATATCTTACATTAGACAATATATTTTTGGTACAATATCAGCAATCATCCAATATTTATCTGGCAGAATAATATTCTTAATTTAACTCAATTCAATGATTTCCCGACTATACTGACATATTCATTGATGATAATCTATTCAGTTTTCTCTGGATTGCCCGTAAAAGAGGCCCTTCTCGTGGTGGTGCTGGTGGTGACAGTGGTGGTGCTGGTGGTGATAGTGGTGGTGGTGGTGATAGTGGTGGTGGTGATAGTGGTGGTGGTGATAGTGGTGGTGGTGATAGTGGTGGTGGTGGTGATAGTGGTGATAGTGGTGGTGGTGATAGTGGTGGTGCTGGTTGTTATGTCGGGTTCAGCAAAGCACAATCACAGGGTCGGAGAAAACTACCATTACAAGTACATCTGGAAGAACAGTCCGAAAGCAAGCAAGGCGCGGGAAAAGAACACCGCTCCACTAGAAGTTATGCAGATTCAGAGACCGCGCATGCGGACTGGTGCACACACAATAATGATGTCATGCAACTACACATACACTACACTGGTGGTGATAGTGGTGGTGGTGCTGGTGGTGATAGTGGTGGTGATAGTGGTGGTGGTGATAGTGGTGGTGCTGGTGGTGATAGTGGTGGTGGTGATAGTGGTGGTGCTGGTGGTGATAGTGGTGGTGGTGCTGGTGGTGATAGTGGTGGTGGTGCTGGTGGTGATAGTGGTGGTGCTGGTGGTGATAGTGGTGGTGGTGATAGTGGTGCTGGTGGTAGTGCTGGTGGTGATAGTGGTGGTGGTGGTGGTGGTGGTGGTGATAGCGGTGGTGGTGCTGGTGGTGCTGGTGGTGATAGTGGTGGTGATGATAGTAGTGGTGGTGATAGTGGTGCTGATGGTGATAGTGGTGGTGGTGATGGTGGTGGTGGTTGCAGTGGCAGTGGTATTCGGGTGGGGCGTGCGCTGATCCTAATGGTGGCGGCAGCTGCTGATGCTAGTGGCCTCGATTCATGATGACGATGCCTCAGGTTTTGAGGATGAAACGAGAACTGACTCGCAGCCTCTGGTGTCTGGTCTTGCATAACAGAATAGTAGAAATCAGATTCCATCATAGGTCATTTCGGGTAGTTATGTATGGAGTGGTAAGCTTGCGCTGGTCTGCAACTTAAAACTGATTCTCCATGGCTTGCCACTCAATCTCCTTTCAAATCTCAACACTGGGCCTACTCAATACAAACTAGCAGTGTTTGCCACTCCGGTACTTTCAAGGCAAGCAACGTGACGACGTCGTTCACACGACTTCCATTTCTCGCAGGCTTTTGAACTTATGTGAGTGCCATACTGCGGTAGCTTTTATTGTTTCATGGAGTCTACTGGGAAAGAGTGCAGCGACCTGATGGAGCTGTACAGAAAATGGAAATTCGTGCATCAAGCTTCTGGCTTGCAGTTGGCATGCACTCTTTGTACCGTACAGAATAGCTTGTACACCTTTTTGGCCAATGCAACAGAGTTTGGTGCACTATAACAAACAATGTATGCTGCTTCAGGAGTATAGTAGGATTCGCACCGGACTGCTATTTGGCCACCAGCTGTTCGATCCCGTTCTAGATCGTACCAACCAAAACCCACAACCAAGCATATGAAAAAGGTTGAGACCAAGGATCTATGGCAGATAGATACCTGATTACAAACCGAGGTGAAGGCGAGGTTCTTATCACAGGTCTTGACAGGTTCATTCAGTCACCTAGTCATGATAGCCAGGTTTCAGTCTATGTCAGAATTCATACGTAAAATCCCGCTTTGTTGAGTTTCGCTCTACAACTTGATTTCTCGACGACTGCTAAGCATGCTTTGTTGTGTTGGAGACGCGCCGGCTGCACCCGCACACAACCACAAGAGGGTACAATCGCACGTTCGAGCCATGTTTGAAAGGCTTTTCACAATCAATCAACTACCTCGGGGCGGCCACATTGTCAGCCTCGCCGAAACGGAACATGCGCTAAGCTGGTGTTGCTGGCGCCCCAACCCCAACAACTACATCACCCATGGCGGAAGACAGACTACAGGACAGAAGGAAACGACCAGTGTAGGCTAAAGGCGTAGTGTCAAACTGAAAGAAAAAACACGAACCTCAATCGCGTTCTCCATTAGTTTTGTGTTCCACATGCTGTGGGCCTTGCGTTTCACGCGGCTTGAACGTTGCCATGGATAAGCCCGGAAAATGGGAAAAGTACTGAGGTATTCTTAGAGATACCAAACACTGTTCCTTGATGTTGTGTGTAGATGCATGAGTATAATTATAAGATGACAGTATTCAAAAAGTCCTACAGTGTAAACGAAGCTAAAATTAAAATATAGCAAAGCGCTTTCCCACGGAAATTCGTGCCCAGAGAGATTTACGTATGACAGTTCGCATCGCTCGCCGGCGCGTACGACGTTTGTATTTCCATACGGAATATCGGAAACCTCCCTGATTACTTCGTGTTTGAGGCACGAGTCTTTGGTGCTTGGCACACTGTACATGGAATTCCGAAGGACTACAACTTGGTGGACTGCAAAACAAATAGTGCCATCAAGTTACATTCAGAGGAGCTCATGAGAAACAGGAACGGGGACGTGAACTGCGTAGTAGTACAGCGATACTGATAGTACTGGTATAATACAACGAGAGCCCTGCTTAGCGAAAAAAAATAGAGAGAAAGCCCTACCCAGCAACTCACCGACTTCTTGCGCAATGGCGACTCCACTTGTGACCAGCGATAAGGACAGGAGAGTAAAGTGGCTCATCACCAGCCACCCCATGTTGTCTCCTCGAAGCACAAACCCTTTGAGCTATCAGTCCAAATTGCAATGACAGCTACAATACGCCGGGAGCATCCTCCCTACCACCAGTACTCGGTTTCGAATCAGTCTTCCTTTCGACTTCCACAGTTTGCTTCGTTCAGCTGAAGTAGTTCACGCCACGGTAACCCAGGCGAGGCAGGTTTCCTGCTTTCGCCACAAACGATCTTTTTTTGTGAACAAAGTAGCACGCGACTCCAGAAAGAAGCGTGGAGAGATGAGCCTAGGCATGACACGGTACGCTTTCCAACGGCCGAAGAGAGTTGGAAAGTTTGTGTCTTTGTGGATAACTCGAAACAATTTGCGCTAAGACGCTGCAAAATCGCTCCGATTTTGGATTTCATTCCCCAGAATGTGGTACTGTACCTACAAGATGCGGTCCTTGACCGCATTTCCGTCACTTTGCAGTGGTCTTTCTTCCGTTCAGTTTGCTACTAATACTGAGTACTAACTTACTAGTTACTTCAAGCGCACGGGGTATGCCAGGTGCCGAGACATCTAGACAGCAGAGGCTTCTGTGTGTTGGTGTTGTGACGTGAGAGTGTAGATCTACCACAAAGACGAGCCGTGCTTGTGCTGCAGGATTATGCCTTTGCATACTCCAACACCGCGGCGACCGCGGCGACCGCGCACCGGGACACCGGCCTCATGACCGCGAAACCATGTGCCATTTGGCAAGTCTTGATTGTGGCCCGAGCCTGTAAAAGGCTGTAGCTACTTGTAGCCTGCAGGCACGAAGCAACATATTAGGGAAGGTCAAAGGTCGAAAGTTCGAATTATTCCCAAAACGCCTGCATGCTGCATGCGAGTAAGATATCAGATTCTAGATTCAGCCATCATCATCGTGAACGACTCCACCTCCCAGCGGAGTGCGGACCCTGATCACGACATGAGTCACCTGATCCTGAGACTTCCGCACAAGAACAAGGAAAAATAACAACTAACTTGTAGTTGGTTACTTGCATTTGTCCCGAGGGCTATGACTGTGGAAGCCACTGGGTACTTTTGGGCTAGAGTAACGAAGGTCTTTTCGATGATTTTGCTCGCATTGTTCGGAATATCGACGAGTTATGATAACCGCCTCAGTTGGCCAGTGACAAGGTCACGGCGATCCCAGGGGTTGCTTGTCCCATCACGCACCAGTAGCCAGCCATTACAACATGCGCTGCTGCTGAAGAGCATTTTGGACGAGGCATTCTCCGAAGCCTCTGCTGGTGCAGATGCTCATATTGACATTGGTACGGACGAGCGGGAGCGTGACCGATGGAGATACATGGGAAAAACCCCGCTGACGAATGTCTCACGTCTCGACTGCAAAGCTGATCTGCATAACTTCACAGGTATAAAGCGGTTGGATGGCATCACTGCCGAAGTCTATGTGCAAAAGTTGAAAGGTTTAGGGTGCAAGCCTGACCGTACCAACTTAGGACCATGTCAGGGAGGCACAGGAGGAGAATCACAACAGACATGCAGAAGAGTTTTACTCATAGTGTTGTTCAACTGGCCAGTTCATCATCAAAACTCTGTGTTTATCCGTAGATTGTATGAGGGTGCCTTTAGCAATATTGTGTTCTACTCGGAGACCGGTCATCGCAAGTATGGTGTCAGGCCAGCACCTCGCATTCGCCGCGGTACCAGACAGCACGTTGTGATTGCACAAGCCATACTGGAGCATCCCTGCTATGATGGGTACATGTGGATTGGAGATGATGTCCTTCTCAACTTTCCCTATGTCCTCACACAGCTGAATACTTCCAAGGTCTGGACGTTGCCAGTATCGGTGCCATGGGAGCCGGTTTTCCCACACCCTGGGCGTGAGCAGGTCTTCCCACACCCTGGGCGTGAGCGGGATAAACCAAAGTGGTCTCATTGGGACCGACCAGACGGACTTCAAGCGGTTCGGAAGGCGTACCACTGCATACGACCTATGTACATACAGCGAATGCCCACGGCACTGAAATGCGGTTCTCATTGCCTACGAAAGGTGGCTTCGGACGTCGGCTACATTCCCACGCGGTTTGCGAAGGAGTTTATTGAGCTTTCTTTTGTCTTTCGTAATGTGTACCACGAGATTGCTCTTCCCAACATTCTCCGTTTGATCGTTCCCGATATGAAGTATGACTTTAGTATGCGTCCGGGCCCAGCTGTTTACGCATGGGAAGGCGGCCAGCAGCAGAAATTCAATGAAGTGAAGAAGCGGTTTAATGAAACTCGCACATCCGCTCACCCAGTCAAGTATTCGCTTCCCGGGGCGAAAGAGTATGCACTGCGACAACTGAACAAGTCGCTGCACACTCACACCACCTATTTAGGTTCGTACAGCTTTTTCACCCCACACAAGCACTGACGAGGACAAAGAAAAGTTCTCTTCCAAGCGTCTTTCATTCCTCAATAGTCCCAGTTTTCCTTTGTTTCTAATATACTAACGATAATATCAAGAGTATACAACCCCCCAAGAGTGTGCAACTCCTGATACCCTTTCTATGGGGTACGCCGACGGCGAAAACTCACATCACGTGGTGCATTGTCGCAGTTGTACGTTTCCAGCCTCTTTTCAACGAGCAGCGGGGTAATAAAGCACTCTGACAGAAAGTCACTGCGGGTATGCAAATCCCCAGCATTATAATGGCAGATATTCGGATTGCGCGCGCGCGCTATCCTTCAGAGTCGTTAGTGCGTAGTACGAACGTATCTGAGACACGTGATGTGAGTTTTCGCCGTCGGAGACCCCATATGCAGAGCTGCACACTCTGGGGGTCATTATACATGTACTCTTGATATTAAAATATTTGTCTGGTTTGAGATAAAGACGCAAACGGGAAAGTCTGAAGAAAAATGGTTCTTATCGGATGGTCAGCCAATTAATTCTGGGGGAAAAAAGGAGAATTGTGTGTTGCTCCCTACATGGGAGCTCGTGGTTTTCCTGCCGACTTGAATTCTCACGTGACTGACTCACGACTGCCATCCAGAGAACACGAGAAGTCCATCGATGTTGACCTTCCACTGGGAAAACCTGTAAGAAAGAACCACTCCCTGTTCAATACACAGTGTTTCGGGGAATTCACCCCTCATCTGTTGAGCTGGAGTAGGCTGAGGAAGATTTTGCCTGAAGAGCACCACTTATTATAGTGCTCTCCAGGCACAAACATCACCAGGGATACAAACTTACAGAGACACTCCGTTTCCAGCGCGACAAACACCTTGTGAACAGCAGATAGCAGCGTGAGTCAGTTTCGCTCTTGCGACAGTCAGTATCGCTCTAGTAGTAATGATGGTTTTTACCTCTCACTACCTGGATATCGAGGGGGAAAGATTTGATACAACCACTATTCTGCCACAGCCCTGCATCAAGTTGCAATGGAGACCAGCCACTGGAGAAGCGATCATGTCAAGTAGTACTAATAGGCGGTGGAGCTTGTGAGAGATATTGCGGCAGCTTCAGAGGTAGATTGACTATGTGCATTCCTTCCTTGAAGTTTGACAATTCGCAGCCATTCTCCCCTTTTTGTCAATCCAAGAGCATTGTAGCCCTTTCTGGCACATTAAATCAGCAATGTTTAGTGTGCCCAGGATAGCACATTGCTGGGCCCTTTCGATGCGCAGAGTGCCTGCCAATGCCAACATAAAGTGTGAAAGGGACGCACCAGTCAGACCACCAAGCGCTCCAACGACCAGAGGCACAACGCGGGCATCATCCACATGCCAAATGCGCTGCAGCTCTTGGCAATGGGGAGCGTACGAGTCGTACTTTCTGAATTTTTCGGCGAATGCATAATTAATGGGAGATGGTGATGGTGAATCATGTTCATATGGAGTTACCAAGATGGCTAAGCTGATTGACTGTTTGGGGACTGAAAAGATATCAGGGTGAAAGAGACTTGTGCAGTGGAATACTTGTCTTTTAGGCAAGAGATTTACATGTACGAAGTAACTAACAGTTAGTGTGTATTTCTGTAATATTTTTATTGTTTACCGATTCACCAAAGGCTTTCGCCTATCGAGGGGTTTCCAAACTTTCCATAATACCAAGTCTGTAAAAGAAGTGATGTGAGGCTATGAATTTGAGCTGCGGATGCTCTGCCAAAAGTTGCTATAATTCTGCTATCCTATGGAGGTGGAAATAGGGTCGGAACTCGAACCCCAGTAACTTCATGGAAGAAGGACCGTGCTGTCGGCTGAGGGGCAGACATGACATCTTATAGCTCCAGAGATCGAAAAGAAGAAACGTTGACATTAATTTTAGGAATTGAATGATATTCAAACATTTTGGGGAGTACTAATAAGAGCTTCCAACTAAATAGACCAATCCCGAAAAGATTTTCTGGGTTCGTGAAAGGGGGCACGCGTGCAAGCCAGCATGTGTGAAGTGCATCGTTTTGTATTCAGTTTGTGTGTGTCAGCTCATGGCGGAGGAGAGAGAGACTTTTGCTCGCCGAGCTGAAGCTAAAGGATTTGATGGAGTCCTGCCAGCAGCTAGTCAAAGGACCTTCGGTACGTTAGGCAGACTCTGACGGAGTTTGGAGGCCAGCTAGCTCTCGCTGAGGAGAGAAACATTCGCGTGGCGTTCGACTCTCCGTAAAAAATGCAAGCTACATAGCGCCGACATACTGCAACAGCTACGATTTCAGCTAACTTCTCGATCTGCTGCTTCACAAAGTTCAACTATTTACAAGTCCTGACTGTTGTAGTCTGAAGCTGGAGTCTCATCGCCCACCTACAGGTAGCTTTTGGAGCTGATGGATTTCCCGACTTGGACTCCTTCCGCAAACTCTCGCAACATTACTACAGTGTATGCTGTGTTTCCGCACGCTCGTGTCGACATGTCACCTATACTGTACATGTACCGGGTCGTCCGCTGACTCCAGGTTTCCGAAATACTGCCGTCGTCTTCGTTGATGTCGCTGGTGACATTCTCCCCTTGCAGGACCTGCGCATAGTTGTCGGCCCTGGGGTAAAGACTATGTTGTCTTTCGAAATAGTTCTTCATCACGCTCGCGCGAATGACGTTTCTCATCATGAACTCGTTCCGACGGTGTGACACGGCGATGGTCTTTGGCGGGGCACTGGCTTGGCGAAAACGATATCTTCTTGTGCAACACTGATCGGCTTCAGATGAGTACAGTCACTTCGTGGTTGGTCATAGGAGGGCAGCTGCCAGGAAAGAGGCAGGACTCATCG